TTTTTTTTCCTCTCTTCTTCCTTCTCCTCCTCCCTAACAAGATTGGGAAAACAGTGTTATCTTTTCTTCCCCTAGTTAACTGCCCTTGAACCCTCTCTACAGGAAGGAGATGCCTGCTGAGGACCTGGAAAGTGAATATCTCCCAAATTAACAAGTGAATCCTAACCCACCATCAGGGTGCCCTGGGACACCACCACCACCACCAGAGCACACCTGGAATGTAACCCTTAAAAACACCCCTGTCCCTTCTTTTGGGGAGAATCACAGCCTTTGGGACAGGAGTGTGTTTTCTCCTTTGCTAGAAAAGCAATAAACCTTCTTTTTCCTTTTTCTTACAGGATTACTTTTTCTTATTGGATTGGCATGGGGACAAGGACCCAGCTTTTGGTTACACTAGAAATAGGAAGGCAGTTTCTTGATAGTTAATTTCAGTGTTGAAAACTAGCTTTCTGGTTGCTATAAATGTGTCCATCAGCCATACAGTTGGATAACAGCCCTGCTGTTCATTAATGAAAGCAGGGTCTTCAGTCAAACCCAATGGTGTCCAGCAAGTCGGGTCACTTGACCTGCATCCTTCCTTGATGAGTTTCAGATGGTTAACCATTTGTGCTGTTACAGTGTATTCAGACTGAACATCTTCTCTGAGAATATGGCCGTAAGCAGAAAAATTTCCTCTTGTAGTAGGTACTCCAAATTTTTAATGCCTTCTGATGCTAAAATAATCCCCATGTCTACTAAGCTTTCCTACATTACAACTTGTGCCTGAAAATGTTCTCTTCAACATCTTTGTTCCTCACTCCTGGATACTCTGTTTATCTTTCTCTTAGAGATCAGTGCCCAGAACAGAACATAATGTCCAAATGTGTTCTGAAGGTTTGAGAATGTGGAAGACCACAGGTAAGAGACAAATTTCTATGTCTTGTTTACAGGCATGCTAACCTAGATTCTGGAGTACCCAGAACGTGGTTGGAGTCCTCAGTTTTTTTCATTCCAGGAGAAAATGTATTCTCAAGTAGAGAGCTAAGAAACTTGCCTTTAGAGAGAAAAGTTGGATGATGTTAGAAAGCTCCTACTGCATGAGCTGGAGCTAAAGGTCTACCTATTTCTCCTTCCCAGGGCAGGCTCCATAGCTGAGAGCTGTTGAGGTAAACTCTCAGGTTCAGGAAGGCCCTGATCTGGGCACTGTTTGCAGAAAACAGCCGGCTGCTTGGAGCAGGACTTGAAGGACTTAAAGTAGCAGGATATGGGCAGCTGCCCCAGTCCAGAGCACGGTTCCAAAGCAAAGTTCAAAAAATTTTTTAAAATTACTGAACAACTTTTGTTTTATATGTGTCTGTGTACATCCTTCAGCTCTGACATTTAGCTGTAGTGGACATATGTGAGGAAATGTCTCACAAGGAGCAAAAGGCACAATACATCAAAGAACTGTTAACACTTAATTCCCTTATAAATGTATAATTTTTTTCTTCAGATTTTCAAACCTGATACTATTATTCATTCATATGGTCATGATTGTGAAGGTATGGAACATAAATATTGTCTCAAAATATTTGTGATAATATAAGTTTGAAACTGGTGAATGCCTAGATTTTTCTTACTAAATTTAATATTTAACAAGAGGTATCCTAGGATTTATCCACAATTATTCTAATTCTACAGATGGAGGTTTATACTCACTTTGTGCAACTCCACAAACTAAAGAATTGGCTATTCCTGATGCTGATGAAAAGTGGAAATTCCAGGATATCAGATTGTGAGTTCTGGGGAAATTGGTGTTTCACATTTGAGATCAAGCCCAATTGAGATCTTAAAAATTCATATCTTCGATAATGCTTTCTTTTTTGGATTTGAAAAATTGACAGTTTTACAGATAAGAATAAGAAATGAGCCAGAAGTGTATCATTCAGAAATAACACTTCATTAAAATTTTATTTTTTCTTTTCTCTCCTATGTAATCTACATTTTCAATAACTTGGATCCTCTGTTAGATAGTTTAATATTTTTATCTCCCTTCCCGGTTGCCCTCATTATTTACAATGTGCTTTTCCATTTGGTCTTTTTTTTTTTTTTTTTTTTTTTTTTGAGAGCAGCAGGGAACAGCTATGTTTTGAGCAGCTGAAATTCTGCTGGGGTTTTAATCCTGTGGTTCTGGCTTTACTTCTCCAAGAAGAGTACTTGTTTCAGGTTGACCAGTTAGAGGTCCCCAGATCTCTGGGTTCCTTCACATGACAGAAACAAGGCCAATCAGAAGAGCTGTTTTCATGCTGGATGACTGTAGGACAGGATGGCATTTCCTACTGTTGCCCTAAATAAAAGGCCACAAAGGTGACAATAATTGACTCTGCCATTACGTGGAGACACTTACACGGGAACAGATTTTGTGTACAAAGTGTGGAGTGGGAGACAGTTAAAAACAAGAGTCTAGTGAAGAATTTGATTTCTTCCTGCTGGTGTACCTCTTGGACTTCCATCTTCTGTGAGTCAATATAGTTCCCTTGAATTTAAGGTATTTCAATTGGGATTTCTCTCACTATCAACCAGACACTGCTAGTACTGTGATATTATGCTACCAAATACTTTATGTCTCTAAGATTTCGTTCACAAATGTGTTTTTATATATCTGAAGACATTTCTTTTCAAACTCTATTGGGATAAGATTCATTTTATGCATTGGCCTAAAAATGCCAATTTCTGGACCCCACCACAAAGTCTTTGGTTAGTGATGTGCACTAAGATGAACCAAGGAGTCTACCAAATGTACTCTGTACTCTTTTCCCTCTTATTTGTGGTTAATCCCAATTCCCTCTCCTTCCCCAAGCACCTACACATCTATTTTTCTGTATCTCTATAGTTCACGTTTCAATAAGAAGAAGGAGTGAAGATTGCTTTAGTCTCTAAAGTAAAATGTCTTATAAACTGATAATAAGTAAAACAGCATATTACTGGCATATCAAAACACAATACAGTGCTCAGAAACAGAATTCTTTAATATATAAGGAAGCTTTTAAAATTCAGGGTGAACGAATGGATCCCCCCCACCCCAGTATATATACTGGAATTATATATAAAGCATGTGGACAGAAAAAAGAAAAGCCCCAACATCTTATCATACCTGATAATAAATTCCAGTTGAATAAAATGTTTTCTAGAAATCTGTAGAAAGAATCTAATAGGGTATTAATGTAAATGCATATACTTTGAGATGAGAAAAATTTTGAGAAGCATGAAACCAAAGGTGGAATTCATAAATAATGGAGTAAGAAGCTTGGAGAAATAGAAAACAGAAAGTTTTCCTGGATAGGGCTGCATGGGTCCTCAGTAGGTCTAACAGGATCACTCTGCTGAGGAGACTCCCTGGGGTCCCCTGAGGAGGGGTGGAAGCAGGGGTAGAGGAATGGGTTGTGAACATGGCCCACCAAGACTGCCCACGCTATATCACCACTGTGGATGAGTTCTTATTTTCTGTCCTATACTCTATGCTCCTGGGCTCCACTGTCCTATTCTCTCCAACTTCCAACATGTGTCCCCAGCATCACCCTTGCTTTATCCCCCTCATTCTGCAGACTTCTGTACGCACCTACACACAACCTACCCAACCTGAGTCAGAGTTTCTCCCCCTCCAACTTCAGCATATGTGGGCCAGGATCTCTGGATTGTCACTGTTACAGAATCACTCATGTTGCCCCAAGGGAGAACTTGTATTACAAGAGAGCACAGTAGTTAAGAAAACCCAAGAATCTGCTTCTGCATTAGCACAGCTGGGCTTCCCTGAATGTGGACTGATTCGTCACAGTACTCCAATGGCCCAAACATAGTTCTAGTGTGGACTGTTTTGATGATCACTCTGTTTCTCTTAGTCTATTCTCATTTAGTTAAGAAGTCAGCCTTGGAGAGAGTGTGGGGTGGGAATACACTCTAGACTTGGGAGGGGAAAGTAGATAGATAGATAGTATAGAACAGCAGCTGAAAACAGAGATGTGGAAATTATGAAGAACTGGACTTGAATCAGAATTCTGACTACATATAATGCCAAGAATGTTTAAACAATCTCTGTTCACAAAGAGATGCTAATTATAACAACAATAACAATACTAAGAGGCTTTTATCCTAAGGTTGTTTGGATGACAGTGATACGTGTATAAATAACTTAGCCTAGTGACTGAAACATAATTGCTCATTTTGCTATTATTGTTTATCCTTGTTTTTACTTTGGGGTGGCTCCAAGAATGTATTCATCTAAGCTGCTCAAACTTGGAGCTTGCTTCACTTCTTCCCCAAGGACAACTATGGCCAGATATGAGCCAAAACAGAATAAAAGGCCTAGTCGGGGAGTTTTCCTTCTCAAAGCGGGATGTTAAATGGGGGAGGCTCATTTCAGAGCAAATTCTCCACTCTTAGGAAGGACAAGATGCTTGTGTTCCACATGGAGAGAACATGTGAGCCTCCTCTCCGCCTGGGTCCCACTCTCCCACTGCAGTCTGCATTGCCTGTTCCTCTCCACTCACCTCCATTTCTTCCTTGCTCCATTCCTCAATCTTTCCTTGTTTCCTTTTCTTCCTCTTTACTTTTCTGTGTTTTCTATTCTCCTTTCAAATTCTCCCTCCTTTTCCTGTTCCTTTCTCACAATCCCTAGACGGGCTATTGACCTCATATGGTCATTTTTGTTACTAATCCAGAGGAATTGAAATAGAGTCTGTGTTAGAATCTATTTAAATTCTTTGATTACATTTAAATTGATTCCAAGACAATTTTAAAATGGTGCAGAATTTTAGAGCTTAGAACAGTAATAGATGGTAGGAAATTCCCCTGCACAGGAAGTGAAGCATGTACATTATCATAATAGATCATATCTCTTTACTTCTTTTAGTCTCTACAGAAAAAATGATAAGGACCCTGGTGACCAAGCATCCAGTGCTTCTGTTGCTATTGGTGCAGCTACTACAGCCACTAATACCGGACCGAGAATATTTGCGTGTATCAAGAGAAAACAGAGATGAATATGATGAAATTTTGGCGGGATTTTATGGTAAAGGGCCTACGAGATCTTACACCAAAGAAAAATTCGAAAAGTTTAGCATTATTGCGCCTGGAAGACCATTGTCTGATTCCAGCTATTGTGATGACATAATCAAGGAAAGAAATGTTCAACACAGGCTAAACTGTATGACAGAACATTATTTTGTCATTATGGAATACAGTGAAATGCAAACTCTCTGTTACTCGAAGTATGCACCATGTAAGAATGGAGTTAAGAAATGTAACAGGAGCAGGCGTCTAGTAGATGGACTATATTGTAAACTCACAGGAGAAGCTAAACTGCCAGATTGTAAGTATGAATCAGTTGAGAGGCGAGGATATGTCCTTTTCACTTGTCGATGGCAAGATGATATTAAAAAACTTGTTCCTAAGAAGATAAATGATATTATGGTGCCATCTCGACGGTAAACCTCCTTAGACAAACAAGATCATTTTGTCAAAAGTGAGGGTGAAAACATCTACCCTAAGAAAGGAAAAGATAACTTTCACAATGAGGAAGAATATTCTCTAAAAAAAACAAACAGTGGCACACCCCTTAATCCCAGGGACTCAGGAGCCTGAGGCATAAGCCTCAGATGTTCAAGTTCAAAGCCAAGTCAGTTGGAGCAACTTACCTAGCACCTGTCTCAAAACAAGAAGGGCTGGGGATGTAGCTCAGTGGTAGAGTACCCCTGGGTTCTATCCCCAGTAATCAATAAAAAAAAAAAATGTGTGAAGACATCACCCTGTTCATGCTGATCCTCACCAATCAAACCTAAGAACAGTATCTTTGATTCCATTCATAGTCATCATCTCCTCATCCACCTCGTTCCCTGCCCCAATAGCACTCAGAGGCAACATAGGCCAGGTTCAAGACAGGTGGCTCTACACAGGTCACAAAGTTCAGAACGTTTGAATAAGCCGTGACCCAGGAAGCCTGCAGTCAGAGGATGGCCAGCTGTAAGAGGACAGGGAATGGTGCCTACTGTGCTCCAATGGCTGCATCACGGGATTCTCCAGTTTAGCAGCAAAAATAAAGTGCTTCAATCTAGAGCTGTGGCTCACCTTTGCTTATGTGGGGTTTCTAGTTTTGCAACTTGCTTCCTGTGTCATGTACATTGCATCCAGTGCAGATATTTCAGTTGTCCTGTTCCTTCCACACAACACAGTGCATGGGAGAAATGCCACAGCCTGGCTGGCTGGGCAAAATAACCGGGGGGTGACTTGTGTAGATTGATACAGCAGGAATGGGAGCCGTTCATTGTAGGATAGGAGCGGTATTTATACATTCCACACAGCTTATCTTAATTAGCATTAACTAGATACAGCAGTCAACCAATAAGGAATCTCCACACTTAATGGCTTGCTGGCCTTACTTCACAAACCACTCCCTCTGGCAAAATGCCAGGCGTCATCCTGACTTGTTTACAGACTCTAACAGAGAAAAGCTTTTACATGTTTAGGAAAGCAAAGTCCCCAGTGTGCTATTCAGTTGCCTGATGCTGCTTGTGTGAATTCCCACAGCTTTGCTTCAGCTGGGACAGTTGTGTTCACAGAACTGCAAGCACTTCCTCATTCTCTGGCACAGTCACAATTACCACAATTCCTTTCCTCACTTTCCCACAGATGTGGCTACATCTGAGCACACATTGCCTCAGGAAGAAGCTGGAAAATTAGGATGATAGCAGAAGTTTAAGAAAAAAGCCTTCTCTTTCCTTCAGACTTCTTAGCATCTCTTCACTATTATTATTCCCTAAAATGTCCTGAGAATGAGGTAAGAGGTAGTGATGGTGGATGGCAGGAGCACATCTGTTATCCTTGGACATTTTATCCCAATGCAATCTGTGTGTCTCCCCTGTTCCTTATCACTGTGTTCCCATTTACAGCTAAGCTTATACTTTACCAATCAGTTGATCTAAATGAAGGCTTAGAGTCAAATCTGTCACTCACTTTTCATTGTCCAATGAGCTGTGCACCAGAAAATCATGCTTCTAGACACCTGTCTTGACCTAAAGGACCACGGTTTTTGATTGTGATGTCTGAGTGGATGACAGTGATGCTCTTATGACCACCCCAAAAGCCCAACTATTACATTTAAACTGAAGAAATTTGGCATGTGGGCTATCCTGGTAAGTGCTATGAACCACTAGGCCATGTTAACATCATTGACTTTGGGTAATACAACACACAATATATTTTTTTGTAAAACTAAATTACAGTAGAATAACCAAGGCACAAAAACAGTTGTAATGTATCTTCCTCTCTCCAGACCAGATAATCTTCTCCAAATATCTTTTGAAAATAGAATCATGGAAATAAAACAAGAATCATTTACACAAATTTCTCCTGTTATTTAATATGCATATAAAGTTCAGCTATTGACCTCTACCAACTGGATTTTCTAGGAGAGCTCTTGGGTTGGTTAGAATGAGTCCCTTCCAAAATTTCCACGTTGCCCATGTGGTAATATCATATAAGGTCTTTAAGAGGTGACTGGGTAATGACAGCTTTTCTCTTGTGAATGGGATAAAAACTCTTATGAAAGAGGCTTCACCCAGCTTTCAACCAGCTTGTCCTTCTTTTCCTCCATCACCTGCAGATACCGCAAGAGTCCTTTCCCAGATTCTAGGGACTTGTCTTGGATTTCTTAGCCTTTAGGACTATTAGAAATAAATTTCTGTTCTTTATAAACTATCTAGCATTTTTTGTAGCAGGCTAATTTTGTGAGAAGTATAATTTTCAGCTTTACTGAACAGGATTTCATAAAGGCACGTTCATTTTCTATTAGCATTACCTCCTAAATAATACTGGATTTCATTATTTGGATGAATATTGTCTATAATAGTATATCACAATTCATTCTTTATTAAAGAGTTCCCTGAAATAATGAAACATTGATTTTAAACACTGGGGGAAACAGAAAAGAGTTAGAAAAAAAATAGATTGTTTTGTTCCCTAGGCAATTGAAATGCAACCACCATTTTATCTTGGAAATTCCTGATGTACGTGGTATTATTGAAGAGGTAAAATGTAAGAGAATTTAGCCCAATAAGCAGAGAGCATAGTATCTCCTTTTCCATCTGTAGCAAAAAAAAAAAAAATCTACAATGATGTAAAGACTAGAATGGAATCAGAGCTAATAACTAATCCTGTTGGGCTCCTTTGTGAAAAAAAACTGATGATGTCAAATCTAGCCAAATTTATTTCCATCCTCACTAAGTATAACCGGCAGGGCCAAAAGATGTGGCTGAGTGTTAGAGCAGATAGAAGGTATCAAGCAATAAAAACTGATACTGGGCCTGTGAACGAAAGGAAATTTGTTGTAAAGATAGCAACAGATTCACAACAGCAAAGAAGGCAGAGGAGAAGGCTTATAAAAGGAATAGAATAAAGGAGCAAGAACAAGGAATATAACTGTTTTGTCAGCCTGGTACTGTTGCTACTGTTATTGATGCTGCCTTTGTTATGAGTGACTTCCTCCAACTGTTCCTTCAAACCTTGACTCATTTACTTGAGAGACATAGTCCCTGACCAGTGTCATTGTCTGATCACAGGTAGAAACTGTCTCTCAGACCAGAGCTTGGAAATTAAGAATCTGTTCCTAAGGATTCCTGAAACCAATGCCACCACACCTCATAACACAAAGGTACATAACACAAAAGGAAACTGGGTGTAGTACAGAAGAGAAACAGTGCTCAAAAGCTCAAAAATAATAAATGTTCCTTTTAGGCTTAAGTCAAAGCTTTTAGGAATTGTCTGCTTTGAATACTTAACTGCAGAGCCGTGTTATGAAACAAGGTGTACATAGGAAATGACATTCTGGAAAATGACACAAAGATTTTTATCAAGTGATAATTAACATTAATAATAATATCCATACTAATAAATATGAGTACTACTTTTTGAGTGACATCTGTGAATTAACTCCTTAAATCTTCAAAACAACTTTTACCTGATTTAACTGCTATAATAATGTGTACAGTACTGGTCATTGGGCTGAATACACTTCTTTGGGTTACTGAGTTAATAATTGTGCTTCTCTTTTCATAATTAGAATGAATATAACTTGAGCAGGTAGTTATTGATTCATGCTATAGACTACATCATCACTCCTGGAAGAATGGACATTTGGTTTGCCCTACTAAGTCTACATTGTTACATTTTCTGTATGGTATTTGAACACATGTACATAAGTGGTTTTTTTTTTCTTTTTTTTGTCCAGTTTTTTAAAGGTATAATTGAAAAATAAAATTATATGTATTTACAGAGTACAATGTGATACACAAACTCTCTCACACACACACAGTGTGAAACAACTTCCATTATCAAGACAATTAACCTATCACCTCACAAAGTTCTCATTTTTTTTTTTTTTTTTTTTTTTTTTTTAAAAGTTCTCATTTTTTAAGTGTAATAAGAACATTTAAGATCCATCTTTGGGCAGTATGGACATTTAAAAAATATTAATTCATTCTTTCAATCCATGAATATAGTATATATCTTTCCATGTATTTGTATCATCTTTAATTTCTTTCATCAATGTTTTTATAGCTTTCAGTACACATATCTTTAACTTCCTTGTTTGAATTTACTTTTATCTTGTTTTTGATATTATTATAAATGGGATTGTTTTCTTAATTTCTTTTTCTAGACACTTCATTGTTAGTGTATAGAAACACCACTACCCAAAACAACCTACAGATTCAATGCAATCCATATCAAAATTTAAATAGTATTCTTCACAGAAGTGGGAAGAAAATTCTAAAATGTGTACAGAAACACATAATACCTCAAATAGCCAAAACAATATTGACCAAAAAGTACAAAGCTGGAAGTATCACACTACCAGATTTCAAAATATATTACAAAGCAATAGTAATCAAAACAGCATGATACTAGCATATAAACAGACATATCAGTCAACACAGTATCATAGGAGCCCCCGTGTGAGAGCTTCCTCAATTGGGAACTGCTAAGGAAGAGGGAGATGGGGCTAAAGTTTGGAGGCAAACAGAGAGACCAGGAACTGGGAAATCTCCAGGAAAGACAGGGAGATAGTACTGGGTGCTTACGTCATATTAGTGGTCCCAAAAAGAGACCCATGAGGTACAGTCTCCCTGCAGGGACTGGCGGATGCCACTTCCTGTTTCCAGGTGACCTACACCAGGACCAGTCTTCCCACCCTGGTTACCTCCATCATCCTGAGGGCAGAGATACCAGCTTACAACAGACAACCCTACCAATTGGAGAAGAAGAGAAGCAGGAAAGATACAAATCTCTAAAACTAGCAACAACCCCGGCTTTTTCCTTTGAGTTTTTTTCCTTCTACCCCTCTATTCTCCAGCCCTCACATCCCCAACATATGTGAAACCAAGAACTTTGAATGAAATAGAATTCTGAGGATTGAGTCATCTGAATAATATAATATAGAGGTGTTGTATGTGCCTTTTTTCCTTTTCTTTTCCTTTTTTTTTCTTTCATTTTTCCCCCTCCAAATTTTACTATTCTAATATCTGTATTTTTCTAAATACATATGTGTCTTTGTTTTATGTACTCTACTCTCTTCCCACATACTTGCCTGCTCTAAATTACTTCCTGTCTGTTCTCTTGCTACTAACCCTCCTCATTAGATTTCTCTTTCACACTTCCTAAGATATATTAACTCTATATCCTCATATCCTACCTCCTCAGCATATTGTGCTATGCCCCATCCCCAGTTCATTGTCCACCATCAGAATCTGTAAACCTTTTTACAAAACTACTGATTATATCATAGATAATAATTGAATCCATCATTTCTGTACATTGAGATTAAAACTGTAAATTTCTTAGTAACAATAAATTATTGTAGGTGGTATATTGTTGATATTGGGATCTGTTAACATTGTCCTTCCCCACAAAGGAGAGGTCTTGAAACCCTACAAG